ATATATAGCGAGATGGTGCAACAACAGTTGACTATGTTCTGGGGCCTCCGCTAGCAGTGCGAGAGACGAGCGCGGAGCCCTAGCCCTGCTCCGGCACAGCGCGTGCGAACGATACCTAATATCACATACTGGTCAGTACTAAAATTAGAGACTAATTTGAACCCCCTGTTGTATATCTTTAACTTGTTAACCTTATAATACCCCGTTACTTTCTCTACCGTAGTCTCCATGGGGTTCACATTGAATACAGGGGGTGCACATTGAATACGGGAGGTCTACATTGATCAGAGGGGGTCCACGTGGAACACAGATGATCCATGTGGATTATAACAGTGGTAGAGCCCGCTTTAACATCTTCGCACGAATTGTCCTCTCTCAGTGAAATACCACGAGCACACAGAAGACAGAGGTCAAGTGGAAGCAATTCCGCGTACAGTCTGATGAGTGTGCGTTCGGACGCCTAATTTAGTCCTCTTTCCCTTCCCACCTTTTTCTTGTAAGGAAAGGATGGGAAGTGGAAGTGGACTTTCCGGATGAGAGGATGCATGGAAAGGGAAGATATTTTCTTTCTGTGCATCCTCTCCTCCGTCGATTAAAGGTATGCAACGCATATGCAATTGCGTATGTCTATGGGCAACGGTCACTTCGCTATTTCAGCGATTTCAGGTGGCAGCACGCTCGTTTGCCACCTTATGATATAAAAAAAAGACCACATGGGGTCCAGATGGATCACAGGGGGTCTTAATGTGTAACTTTTAGAATTACTGGTACAATTTAAATTTTAAAATCTGTAATGAAGGCACCACAATCTTAATTAACCTTTTCCCTATGACAAATGACTTCTTTTTAAAAATAAAAGCCATAAAACATTTTAAAGGGTAATTTTATTATCTATAAAGAGTTAGTTGTTACTTACGATGGAGGAACATCCCAGCGCAATACAAGATTGCATCTTGGTAAGTCTATCCCTTCTTCCAATGTGGGGGTGGCTAGGAGTAAATTACATTCGTGCATACGAAACCTGAAAAAAAAAAGGATAGTAGACAAAATCAATATTCAATCCTTGGTATAATAAAAATAAACGCTTGTATCTTTTGATTGGGTTATGTTAGAAGTTTAATTTTTTATAACAGAAGGGGGCAAACGAGCATCGGGAACACCGAGGTGTTCAACGACGCCCAAGGATATCAGCAGTACCAGAGGAACTGCAGATGCGTTGCCGGCCTTAGAGATAGTGATAAGATCGCTTCATGAAGGACCCTAAATAGTAGCGGTTTGGAAAGATCTGAATTTGATATAAATTCCAGCTTGATATCTTCAAGCGTTTTTGAGAAAAAGGGTCATGACAGACGGACAACAAAGTGATCCTACAAAGGTTCCGTATTTTTCCTATTAGATACGGAATCCTAATTATCTATTATTTAACACTTTACGTGCTACCAACTCGCCCTGGTACATCCTTTTAGTCCATAAAAATCGTAGTAATTGTTGACTGAAAAATATATTTGACCTAGTAGAAATAAGTACATACAAAGGGGCATGTTAATTGAAACATACAAAATTCTCACTCATTATTATGATGTACCAGGCCACCAAGATATACACTGAATGACAATGAACATCTACGTGGGCATCCCCTGAAGCTTTGGGAAAACTCAGCTAAGAAAAATACTATGTAATATTTCTTATCGAACAGGGTTGTTGCAGCATGGAACAAACTCCCCGAGAGCATTGCAATGGCTCCATCAATTAACTTTTAAAAACAACATCGACAAGCTGAATATCTCCAAATTATTTAGCACACATATCAGCCGACCAGCTGCCAGTGTGCAACTACATATAATAATATGTCTTCTGTCAATATCACAAGATCCTTGTCAGACTATAGAGAAGGATATCTGAACTTTAATATCTTACTAATATTATAAATGCGAATGTTTAGATGTATGTTAGAAGATATCTCCAGAACAGCTGCATGGATCTTAATGAAATTTGTCATACATATAGAACATAGTCTGGAAGAACACATTATTTAGTCCTCTTTCCCTTCACACCCTTTTCCTTATAAGGAAAGGATGGGAAGTGGAAATGGACTTTCCGGATGAGAGGATGCATGGAAAGGGAAAATATTTTCTGTGTGTGCATCCTCTCCTCCGTCGATTAAAGTTAGGCAACGCATATGCAATTGCGTATGTCTATGGGCAACGGTCACTTCTCTATTTCAGCGATTTCAGGTGGTTGGCTCGTTTGCCACATTATGATACAAAAAAAAAATATAGACTACTAAGTTTTTTGTATCCCACACAGACGGCTAGTCAGAATATAAACCCAATAGCTATCCCAAGGTGTGTGCCCAAGTGTTCTTCCAGACTATGTTCTACATCTATGACATTATTTCATGGAGATCCATGCAGCCGTTCTAGAGATACCTTCAAACAAACATACATATAAACATTCGCATTTATAATATTAGTAAGATAGACTTACTTCTTTAGTACATCTTCTTGTTTTCTACTTTGCCGTTGACATTCTTGTGGTCCTCCAGCGACCTCTACAGCACAATATTGAGCACATATATAACTAAGAGTTGGTCGACAACGTGATATATCCTAAAATATACAATATCATATACATATAGTTAAAATTAACATATAAAAAAATATATGAAATAAGTATAGTAGAAATCAAAGAGCATCGGTGGCTCAGGGGTTAAGCACTTATAATCTGCAAGTCTTGGGTTCAAATCCCGTCATGTACCAACGTGTTTTCCATATGTACATTTATCCTATGTTGTTACGTTGAAGAAAAACATTGTGATGCTGCACATATCTGAGAAAGTTATGTGTGAAGTCTTGCACTGGACCAGCATTCACTATCACATACTCTCACTTAGGGTAGATCTAACCGTAACATATGCCCAGACCCCGGTAAACAGTGAGTCAAGTGAACCAGAGGGGGTATAGTAGGTAGGCTCCATATCCCTTTAGGGATGTGGAGAGAGTCCCACATAACCGGAGTATCTTTCCCCGAGGCACCCTGTATGAGTAACGCATTCCGGCTCTTTAAAAAAAAAATAAGGGTAGGTCTAACCGTCAGTTTGGTTAAAAAAACACTTACCACTATAAGCATAAACAAGATCTTAGCCATCAACGGTTCTCTCAAGAACATAATCCCACACAAAGCATCCGGATTCTGATTTTGCAGAACTCTTGACGTATTCTTCAACACTCTAGGTCTACCTCTCACTCTCTGCCTACCTCTAACACTTTTATATTCCTCTACTTTCACTTTACACTCACTTTTATCACAAATTTTCTTATCACTCGCACTAAACACTTCAATTTCTTTTAAATTAGCTTCATATGTATTCACACGATCTTCTATTTTATTACCGAGTGTTGTAAAATCACAATTCTCTATGATATTTAACATTTGTTTTGTTTTTGATGTGTTTATATTAGTTTCATTTATTATATGACCGGTTTCATTTCTTCTTTGATTAGTTTCATTTCTTATATCATCAGTTTCATTTAATGTATGATTACTTTCATTTATTGTACATATATTTTCATTTGTCGGACTATGAGCGTTTATATCAATCTTTTCACTTTCCTGCGGTCTAAATTGTTCTAATATCTCCGTTAATCTTATAACTTTTGGTGTACAAAATAATTTTATCTTTTCCCAATCCGTAGAATACTTTGAGAATACGTAATCTGCGTATCCTCGTATTTTTATAAGAATTGTTGTACACATGCAAAGTAAAAGGAAATGTCTTTCGTACGGTACTTTTATTTTTAATTTCTCTAGTTTTGCCAGTAAGGAAAACGCTGCTTTATCTGCTGCATATGGACCTGAAATGGAAAAGATAAAGATAACGCTATCTTACATATATAGCTATCTTTTTCTATTAAATCTACGAGCATCGGTGGCTCAGGGGTTAAGCACTTGACTTGTAATGTAGGTACTGTGTTCGAATCCCGGTATGTACCAATGTGTTTTACATATGTACATTTATCGTATGTTGTTACGGTGAAGGAAAACATCGTGATGCTGCACATATCAGAGAAAGTTAAATGTGTGAAGTCTTGAACTGGACCAGCATTCACTATCACATAGTCTCACTTAGGGTACACTCTACCCTCATACATTTAAGATATTTGACTTTTATGTCTGATAATTTTAGTAATTATTCAAGAAATATATATAAAAACATACCTAATTCGTTCAGTATATATAAAAATTGAGCAAATATATGCTTTGGTTCTTTAGTTGGGTCTGGTATATTAATAAATTCTTCGTACAATTCATCACCATATATCTCCGATGGGTCATATCTGGAATTTATAAAAAAAATTGTGTAAGTGTTAAGTTTTAACAGTGGTAGAGCCCGCTTTAACATGTTCGCACGAATTGTCCCGGCTCGCCCGGTGAAATACCACGACCACACAGAAGACACGCCTCAAGTGGAAGCAATTCCAACTACAGTCTGATGAGTGTGCGTCCCGGAGACCTAATTTAGTCATCTTTCCCTTCCCACCCTCTTTCTTATAAAGAAAGGATGGGAAGTGGAAGTGGACTTTCCGGATGAGAGGATGCATAGGAAGGGAAAATATTTTCTTTCTGTGCATCCTCTCCTCCGTCGATAAAGGTAGGCAACACATATGCAATTGCGTATGTCTATGGGCAACGGTCACTTCGCTATTTAAGCGATATCAGGTGGGCGCTGGTTCGTTTGTCACCTTGTAATATAAAAAAAAAGTAAACTATGCTTAGGCATACAAATATGTTTTAAGACACGAAAGTCCACTTCCACTTCCCATCCTTATAAGAAAAAGGGTGGAAAGGGAAAGAGAACTAAAAATACAAAAATCTTACTAGTATATATCTTATAAATGCGAATGTTTAGATGTATGTTTGTTAGAAGATATCTCCAGAATGTGTGAACTGATGTCGAAGAAATTTGACACAGATGTCAAACATAGTCTGGAAGAACAGATAAACTACTCATTAAGTTTTTTTCAATTCCGTGCTGACGTAAACACATGCGACAGCTAGTCTAGTTATAAATATAGCCTATCTTACCTGGTGATAGCCAGTTCATGTATTTTACTAATATTATAAATGCGAATGTTTAAATGGATGTTTGTTAGAAGATATCTCCAGAACAGCTGAACAGATCTTGGTGAAATTTGTCATACATATAGAACACAGTCTGGATGAACACATAGACTATTAAATATTCAAACTTTCGTGAGACATTATACTAAATTGATATATAAACACTCACGTATATACGTCCGGTGGCGGTACCGACTAGTTTCGAGCCCATCGGAGGCCCTTCATCAGGATGAGTGGTACTGGTATTATTTCGCGTACGCGGCCCCCAGCTCACTGCGCGTCTGCGCTCTTAGGGCGCGTCTTGAGGGATCCTGATGAAGGGCCCCCGATGGGTTCGAAACTAGTCGGTGCCGCTACCAGACGTACATACGTGAGTGTTTAGCCGTGTTTATATATTAATTTAACACATAGACTACTAATTAAGTTTTTTTTTGCCTTGCAGACGATGTCGCGGCGACAGCTACTAGAGGTTAGAAAACTAAATTTGGCTGTATATATTCGCATTTTAACATACCTATGTTCATTTATAAAGTCAATTCCATCTTGTATCGTTCTTCTCATAAATAAATCCAATTCTTGATAAACTTCTGGAAGTTTCTCTAATGAAAGTTGTTTAGAATATTCTATTATAACTTCTTTTGGCTTTGAAATTGTTGTTGATAATCTGAAAATGTACATTTATTGATTTAAAAAAAAAAAATTTTGATTTTTTTTTTATAATAGAAGGGTGCAAACGAGCATCGGGAACACCGAGGTGTTCAACGACGCCCATGGACATTAGCAATACCAGAGGAACCGTTACGTTGCCGGCCTTTGAGATGGTGATAAGCTATTTGTACATTTATGACACTTTTTGTAAGAATACGAATCGAATGACACCTCACTTGTCAAAATCTGTTCAATAGTTCAGGATACAGGATGTTACAAAGTTTGACATTAAAACATACGCGCAAAAAATATTAATTTCTCTTTTAATTCGGGTAGTAAATTTAAGAAGTTTAGAAAGGTTAATTTGGTCCAATGACAGGCGCTGTTATCTTGGTTACTTGGTTACTTCTGCCATATATATAAAACCTGATTATACGTAGAAAACGAAATGAAAAAAAAAAAATCACGACATTGATGGGAGGGCGGTTGTGAGCTGTCATAATTTAACTTATGCCCAGGTCAGATAGCTTTATTGATCTACAGGATGTCCGGAACGACGTGTACAGTATCACAGATTCTAAGCAATTTTGGACAGAAGTTTGGTTAAATGGTCATATTTTCAACTAAGGAATCTATGTCAAAGAAATCACGTTGTTGCCGATGCAAACGGACCTTTTTAGACTTTTTTTTTACTTATTATTTTTATATTTTCTAATTTAGAATGTTTAATGTCTTTTCTTCCAAATTTATATCTAAATTTACCGATCGTGTCCTTCGTTTACAATTTTACTTTCCGTCGTCTTTGCACGTCATTCCCGGACACCCTGTAGTGTTTTGTCTGATAGAACACTTGTATTAAAAATTCAACTATCGCCATCCCTTTCATTCTTTTTGACGAAACAGAGACAACAACATACCTTTTCCCGCCATCAATATCTTCCGCTAAATCCATTTCGCAATTCAAATCTTTTTCCAACTCTTCAATTTTCCAGCCTAATTTCTCGTACATTTCAAAATCATCTTCATTCACATAAACACCTAAATTAATATCTTTTTTATCTTTATCTTTTTCAAGATCTGTATTATTACAAGATATTGTTCGGTCTGACAAATCTCTAGAACTTTCTATTTCTAACACATCTTCAGTTATATCAGAAATAGGAATCTTCTCATCTTTTAATTCATTATTCATTTTATCTATGTCAGAATTGTTTATCTCATCTGTGGTATTGTCTATGACATTACAACTGTCAGTGTCAAAATCTTTTTGTTCGTCTTTATCTGTGTCTTTTATTTCAACAGTTTCATTTACAGGAACAGATTGAATTATTTCTTTTAAATCAGACTTATTCTCTCCGTTTATTTCATTATTAGTTGCCTCGTTGTCATAATTAATGGACGTAAATATTGGATAAGTGAGAGCTAATAACCTAGGCTTATTTATGTCAATACATTCTTTGTATAAACGCATAACCTAAAAAAAAATTATTATATATTTTTAACTAGCTAATTAGTAGTCTATGTGTTCTTTCAGACTATGTTCTACATCTATGACAAATTTCAGCAATATCCATGCAGCCGTTCCGGAGATACCTTCAAACAAACATGCATCTAAACATTCGAATTTATATTAGATGATTGTTTAATGGGCAACCACTAGTTATGTATTGTTACATAGGTGAGGGGATATACAGAAATAGAATATTTCCCCCTACAAATCCACTTCGAATTGGCCAGGCTCGCCCGGTGAAATACCACGACCACACAGAAGACAGGCGTGAAGTGGAAGCAATTCCACGTTTCGTCTGATGAGTGTGCGACCCAGAGGCCTAATTTAGTCCTCTTTCCCTTCCTACACTTTTTCTTATAGGGATGGGAAGTGGAAGTGGACTTTCTGGATGAGAGGATGCATGGAAATGTTTTCTTTCTGTGCATCCTCTCCTCCGTCGATTAAAGGTTGCCTACCTTACACCGCATATGCAATTGCGTATGTCTATGGGCAACGGTCACTTTGCTATTACAACGATTTCATGTGGTCGCTCACCCGTTTGCCACCTTATGATGTAAAAGAAAAAAAAACTTCCCTTTCCCATTCTATCCTCTTACCCTGATCAAGTAAGAAGGGAAGAGAATTACAATTCTCAATTGTATAATTCGGGACTTGCGAGCTGTAACTATAATTTTAACCCACACTACCACTGTTAGAACTTACTAATATTATAACAAATGTTTAGATGGATGTTTGAAGGTATCTCCGGAACTCCTTAACATATCTTGATGAAATTTGTCATACATATAGAACATAGTCTGGAAGAACACATACTAATTATGGATCGCAGACTACAGCTACTTAACTATAAGTATTAAACACATTAGATTAATTATATATTCAAGTAGGGCAATACCAGACAACAAAACCAGACATGTATGCGTAGATGTATGACCATGGACATAAGTGGTGTATCTTTGGTCTCTGCCTACCCCTATAAGTTACAAGTTTGATGTACTCACATATTTCAAATCATCATCAGTTGATATCAAATGACAGCTATCTATAACTAACACATTAATATTATTCATACTGAGGTAGCCATCTTCCAGAATACATTTTAATATTCTTGATGTACATACTATGACCTGGAATTAGAATAAGAATAAATTTATTTCACAAAAACACGTTAGAATAATATACAGTGAAGTATGCAGACCCCAAACTAGGCTGAGCCTGTATCTCGGGGCCTAGGAATGCATTAGCCATGAACAAAATAACAGTATGTACATATCATGTAAAACTAAGCGTGATATTATGAGATACAAATTGGAATATAAGAAAATACGTGAAGACATAAAACTAAGTAATTTTGAACTACTAATTAAATAAAAAATATTACATAAGATGAACATAATAGCACAGCACTGCTCATAAATGCGTCGCCTACATTTAATCAAGGGAACACACAGAACATAGATATTTTCCCTTTCTCTTACTGTAAGAAATCCACTTCACCTTATTATAAAAGCGAATGTTTGGATTTGATGTTTGTTTGAAGGTATCTCCAGAACGGCTGCATGGATTTCGCTGAAACTTATACATGTAGAACATAACATAACTTGACAGGATCAATGACCTAATCAAGGATGCGGGCTGAGTAGGACCAGGTATTGTGGCAATCTATGTGGCTTATGTTCAGCAGTGGATCAATTCAGTCTGACAAAGATGATTATAACTTACTTCTTTCTCTTCTAAATGCGCTTTCCAGTCAGTCACATCTTCGTAATCAGCAGACTTAGCTATCGTGAGATCTGTTAGAATTCCTAGTTCATACGCTATATAGGCGACACGTGACGCTCTAGTTAAAAATATAGACCGTTGACGACCTTCACTTAGTAACCTGTAATTAGAATTTAGTATATTAACACATCGTCGCGCGTCGAGCGTCGGTGGCTCAGGGGTCCATCACTTGACTTGCAATCTGCAGGTCCTGGGTTCGAATCCCGCCATGTACCAATATGTTTTCGATTACCGATTTACATATGTACATTTATCCGACGTTCTTACGGTGAAGGAAAACATCGTGATGCAACCTGCACATATCTGAGAAGAAATTCAAAGATATGTGTGAAGTCAACCAACCCGCACTTGGCCAGCGTGGTTGACTATGGCCTAGTCACCCTTAAATTAGGGTAGGCTTCGAGCTCTTCGGTGGGGACGTATAGTGAGCTGATGATGATGATGATATTAACACATCATCTCTCTGACTCTATATCACTGATAAGACACCAGATTTTTGTCTTCCATCCCTTCTTAATTGTGATTTTTCACGCAAACCATTTCATACTATGCCTTAACATAACTGTGCGGCGGTGTCTCAGGGCTTAAGCCCTTGACTTGAGTTTGAATCTCCCCATGTACCAATGTGTATTTCGATTTTAAATTTAAATATATGTACATTTATACCATGTTCTTACAGTGAAGGAAAACATTATTATGCTGCACAAATCTGAGAAGAGATTCAAAGATATGTATGAAGTCATCCCCGCACTGACCAGAATGGTTAACCTACTCCACCCTGACACAGGGTAGGCTCCAAGCCCCTCCATGGGGACATATAGTGAGCTGATGATGACATAAAAGTTACTAGTATACATCATTGTTTTCCTTCAACATAAAAAAAGTTCATAATTCTTTTAAATCTACTCACCCTCTAATCTTATAAGCATCTTCATGCAGCAGTCTTGTTGCTACGAATGTGCAGTGCTCAGTGATAATTGTATTCTTAATGCTAGCCACCGCTGCCAGTCTTGCACCACCTTCCGCTGCGGTAAACCGTGAACAGCATGTCTCCATATTCTGAAAATTAACTCTTATAAGTACAGCATTTGAGTAATAAAAGTAAGGGTAGCTTCTATTCTTTTGTTTTTCTTCCCATTAATTTCTTATAAGGAGAGTATGGGAAGGGATTGTGACCAGATAAAATATCTTCAATAACCTTAATCTTGTTACAGACGTCTATGGGCAGTGTCTATGCTACCTTGGAGACTGGCCACTTGCTTGTTTGACAGCTTTTAGTATAAAAATTAGCTCTATTTTAGGAAGGGACTGTTTGATATTAGACTACATTTTTATATACCCCTAGTTAGTTATATGTAGCCCATAGAAACACATAGTTGCCTTTCCAGTTTGTTAACATCAGTGCAGGTTCTAAAAATTCCCATTGCTCCTCTGTCTATGCTTTTCTTTCATTCTTTTTTATTGTTAATTTTTGGTTAATTTAAAGGAAACCGAATAAAGAAACTATTTGGTCTTAAAGAAAGTTAATTAGCAACTTTTATAACAAATGCAAAGAAAAACATATAAGTGTGCAAGTTAAACCCATAGCACTGTCTATGTCTTCTCAATCATATAACCATGCATAAATTATATTTACAGTTCTTTTACTATGATTTTAATAAAATTGGCAGCAAACAATAGTTGGTGATTGAATATTTTTCTCAACCATAGCGTTTTCTTCACTTAACCGTTTTCTAGAACCAGTAAACTGAGATTTATATTTATTAAAACCGATTATTTAACGACTGTAACAAATTCAATACTTACTGTGATATATCTATCCACTGTTAGGAATCCAATTCGTGTCAACACATTGATACACGATAACAAACATTTGTGAACATTCAATCACATGTTTCAATTAATTTCACAGCACTCAGAACATTTACAGTGTAAACCTATCCTAAACGGCATTGTTAGCATTTAGCCACATTTACCTGAGATTTAGTTAGGGCCACGTAAATTATAAAATAGGAATTTTAATGAATGTAAAATATTATTTTACGATCAAATCACGCTCCGGCAACCGTCAAGCACCAACCAGCGACAGTAAATAATTAATGTTGCTATATGAACTCAACATAATCCATAAGTAAAATGTCAAACTATAAATGTTGCCATCTTTTAACGAAATCAATAAATCAAAGGTCAAGAAGCAGTAAAAAGGTGTTTATCTTAACACGGTTAGCACTTGGTGAACTTATTAATAAAAACTAGACATCTTAATCCCCTGATCTGGTAATAGGATATAGGTAGTCAGATTCAAATTTGACAGCAAAGTCCAGTAATAAGCAGTGTTTACACAATCAAATCGTGGAACCTACTAAATATAAATTAATGAGCACTCAAGTTTCGAAATTATAATAATCAATGTTTTTGAATCAACTGTATAGTAATAATTTTGAGCCATTCTATTTCAATATCCCTGAAATTACGGGTAATGAATGAATATCGATTATGAAACTGAACTGGCCAAATGCACTTAATATCGAGTATGTAATCGTAGAAATTTAATCTTATTGGAATACAATTTTTTGAGCAAATCACACAAAAACCAAGATTTTCATTAAAAGCCTTGCGTATATGCAATATCTTTATCGTTGCATCGTAACATTGGATAATTACCGTTGTAAGGCTTCTATTCTAACATGATTAATAAAATGTATTTTTATAATATAATGACATAACAAAGAAAGTCTACTTTCGATGGCTGATAATCCAATTAAGTAGTATGAAAATATACTTAAAAACTAGTTTAGTACCATAAATCGTTCATTAAATACTAAACTTGAGTAAGTACAAAAAACACACAATTTTCTGATCTTTTTGTAACCGTGGTAACAATTTAATTGTAAGAAACTTGATTAAGGGTTATTTATTTTAAACTCAAGTAAACTGTATTAAAATAAGAATAAAAATATGTACCAAATTCCATGTTACTATTTTTTCTACCAATTTATATAATTATTACATTAAGATAACACACTGATTAACTGTCATTGAATTAAAAAAAAAACCCTTAATTCTTGAAATGTTTTGTTTTAGTCGTGCAACTGTTTTAATTAAATATTTAAATCAATTTTTAAAATAAATTAACAAGGTAAACAACTATTTTATCATACAAAAAAAGTGTAAAGTAACAAAGTTGACGAAGCAGATAAGATAAGCAAGAAATTTTACGGAACACTTCTAATGGTAAAGTGGCTGAAAGGACATTAAGATATTTTTTTTTTGCATTAACATTATTTGTATTTAAAAAAGTATGAAATCAACAATGACATTAATTTTTCATTAAAACTTTTAATTCCCTATAATGTAGATTACATCCAAGTTTGATTTCTGCCATGTACCAGTGTGTTTTATGATTTTCAAATTTAACATCGAAGACATCGTAATGCAACCTGTATATATATGAGAAGACGTTCAAAGAGAAGTGTAGGCAACCTTCACTGTGCTAGCATGGTTGATCTAGGAACCCCTAACTTGAGTATGCTCAGTGTATCTGGGAGAAAATATAAGGGCTGACATACTGTAAGATAAAGTTTAGTATATTATTTCAGCATCACCATGCTCATTACACAGTAGAGATCTACTCTTGGAAGCAGCCTTAATATACTAATATTATAAAAGTGCAAGATTTGATTGATTGTTTGCATTGAATAGGCTTTAAAACTACCGTACCAATTTCAAAAACTCTGTCACTGCTGGAAACATACCACACTGGGTATCATAGGCAATATAACTAGGTAGTTTTTAAATTTTGCATGGACAAAGTCACGGGAAACTACTAGTCTGACATTAGTTGGTTCACACAATATTACCAATTTAAGTATTGTAGTATTAAAGTTTCTTCTTTGTTTATAAACTTTTAAACTTGAAAAGGAATAAAATTACATGGATCAATGGGGAAAGAAACTAAGTGGTAATTGATTGGAAGGCCCATAGTTGATGTCTATTTGTAGGTGATAATGGTAAATAGTTGCTTATATAAAAGAAAGTTTGTATATAGTTACTAGCTGTCACCCGCAACTCCATCACTAGGGAATTAAAAAAAAACTTAATTAGTGGCCTGTGTGTTTTTCTACATTATGTTCTACATCTATGCCAAATTTCAGCAGAATCAGTTCAGCCGTTCCAGGGATACAATTCCAACAAACATCCATCCATCTAAACATTTGCATTTATACTAGTATTCAAGTCCAATTTTTTTACTCAATAGTGAACCAATAGGAATTCTATTGGAATATCCCGACATTTACATAATAATTTATAATAAACTAAATACGTATATTTTTTTAATATCAAAAGGTGTCAAACGAGCGAGCGGCCACCTGAAATCGTTGAAATAGCGAAGTGACCGTTGCCCATAGACATACGCAATTGCATATGCGTTGCCTACCTTCAATCGACGGAGAAGAGGATCCACAGAAAGAAAATATTTTCCCTTCCCATGCATCCTCTCATCCGGAAAGTCCACTTCCACTTCCCATCCTTTGATTATAATAAAAAGGGTGGGAAGAGAAAGGACTAAATAAGACCTCCGGGACGCACACTCATCAGACGAAACGCGGAATTGCTTCCACTTGATGCCTGTCTTCTGTGTGGTCATGGTATTTCACCGTGCGAGCCGGGCCGATTCGTGCGAAGATGTTAAAGCGGGCTCTACCACCACATACTCATCTAATCAAAAAATAAATATTACATTAAATTTATTTCATATCTTTACAGATTAAAAATGTGGGAAAACCCAAAAGACAAAAACGATGAAAAATACGGCAGTTTACGTAATATACTTAAAAATTTCGATCCCTACGCCGTGTTGGAACCTTTGACACCACAAGGGATACCAAAAGAAAATATTCTTGTTGATTTGTCAGTAAAAAGTGCTAATAATGATTCCAATCTTGAATTATCCGGTTCCCTTTTAGATAAAAGTACTAAATCAGATTTCGAAGTAATAGATGTCTTCCAAAATCTATACGTAACACCTCAACATGTTACTAACAAAAACATCAATGATAATAAAGATTGGATAAAAGCATTTGATATTGAACATAAAAATATTGAAATCGATATGAAAAAAGAATTAGAAAATATATTTACTGTTAAAAAAACAAAATTGAACGCTACTCTCACAAGATTATCTGACGATGAGTTTGACGTAGATGAAATTGATGAAGTATTAAGAATAAAGAGAATTAAAAAGTTAATAAAAACACAACAGAATGCGAGTAGTTCAAATTTTGAATCGCGAAGCAATAATACTGGAACGACACAAAATACATATATAAAAACGAATAATTTACAAGACAATATAATAATTAAAATAGATAAACAAGAAAATATAAGAACTATTAATAATATTGTTAAAAAGAAACTCAATAACTTTGACATAAAGACTGTTAAATTGGATAAAAAGAAATTACAGAAAAAGATAGTGTTGCCAGATGATGTCAAACGTAATTATACCAAAGGACCAGATTTGTTGGAGAAATCAATTGCATTACCTTCAATGATTGAAAGAATTAAAGAAAGACAACAAATGATAAATAATGAGAAATGTTTAAGACATAGATTAGTTTTAGAACCAGATAATTTGATTATTAGCAATGATAAAACATTATATAAATTCAATCCAGAAGCATTAACTGAGGATTGTAATAAGGAAAGACTTACAGCATTACACGGAGGAAGAGCTTTTGAAAGATTCGTAACAGGCGAGAAATAACACAAATGCAAAAGGAAGCTTTAAAGCATGAATAAATACTATTTTTTTGTTTTGGTGGCAACAAATGGGTCTAATGGTAGCTGATTGATGTCTTTGCTAAACCATATGAAGCAATAGCCAAGGGTACAAATCACACAGTTGAGAGTTCGAAATCCACCATTAGACTATTGGAAACCATAGCACAAGCTCTATACTTAGTTGAATAATACAAGAATTAGTAAATTAACAAAAATCCGCTAATGTTTATAAAAAAACACCAGAAGAACTGCAGATACTGCTGCTGGTCTATTAAGGGGCCTCAAAGACGACGGAAAATATGAGGATAGAAAGAGCGATTGAATTATATTATAAAATAAAATATAATAAAGACATAATGAAAATATAAAATAGAATTATGAAATGAAGAGATAAGCACGCACTGTTAGAAGATATATTTACAACTGACAAAAATGAGACAAAAAAGGAAGCAAAAATATAACATGTTTTAAATACAAAAATATAAAAATTATGATTAAAAAACGTGTAAAAATGTTCCGTATCTGTCGGCAACAGGCCTCTTTTATTGAAGGAACCTAAGTCGTGACTATTAGGAATATTCGCCAGTTCCAAGTAAACTAAAACCACGACATTATGAAATACCAACCGAGAATGAAATATGGTGCTTTGTTGATTCCTACAATGACTGAACTCAATGTTAGGAATCGAACTAAACAATTGAAATCTTCCTCTTTAATACGTTACAAAGCGCAAAGGTTAGAAAATCACGGGAAATTTAAGGAAAGACGAATGTAAATTGTAATGGGATGTATAAAGAGATGTGTAAAAATGTATAAAGAGGAAGCTCCTAGGCCCAAAGAAAATTTGCTTTTACTAGAAAGTCTAAAATAATGAATTGGTTATGATATATATACAAATAGTATTAGAAATTGAGTTTAATGTACTACGTAATTTTGATATCAACTATAACAATAAGTATATTAGTAGTAAATAAAATCTTAATGAATTTTAATCTTTTGTTTTTATTATGTTTATTATTTTGAAACTAGGCCTTGGAAAAAAAAAATTCTGGATATTTTAAACAATATGTGTACTAGCTGTCGCCTGCTACTCAGTTCGCGCGGAGTGAAAAAACTTAGTAGCCCATGTGTTCTTCCAGACTATGATCTATATTTAAGTCAAATTTTAGCGAGATCTGTTCAGCCGTTCTGGAGATATCTTCTAACAAACATCTATCTATCCAAACATTCGCATTTATAGGATTAGTAAGATTTAAGTTTATGTAACAAAGACTTACTTTAATCATTTCATGAATCACGTAACTGATAAAAGCTGACAATGTTGTTTTAGAGTTTATAGAATATTTCATTCACCAATAAAGCGTTTTTGAAGTGAAATCTCTCATTGGGAATTCCCCGCTTAAAGATGGTAAAATCTGAAAATTAAAAGTTAAATATAGGTTTTAAATAAACGGCTAAACTTTTCGCATTTTTAGAAACCTGTAGGGTTAGAAAAAAGGATAATTTTCAATGTTTTTTTTTTAGAACAAATCAATGTTTGTCACAAAAAAAATTCTTTAATTTATAGATTTGTTTTAATAATAGCAACATTACTTGATCGAGTCATTTCAAAATGTCAGTGTCATTTGTGCTTCATAGCTGTAATTTTGGTTGTGCGGTAAACAAAATAAAACATAACTTAAAAATACATTTATACGTAGTTTTTTAATATATTAGTTTAATATAAAAGTGCAATAAACACTTAAAAATGCTGCCATTATCGTTATTAAGAACAGCACAGAACCATCCAATGTTAGTCGAATTGAAGAATGGTGAAACTTACAACGGCCACCTCGTTAGTTGCGATAACTGGATGAATATAAACTTACGAGAAGTAATTTGCACATCAAGAGACGGTGACAAGTTCTGGAGGATGCCTGAATGTTACATTCGTGGTAGTACAATAAAATACCTTCGGATACCTGACGAGGTTATAGATATGGTTAAAGAAGAATCGCAAATCAAAGCTCGTGGTCGTAACGAAGTATCTAAAGGTCGCGGTGGTCAGAACATGAGATCTGGACGCGGAGGCGGTCGTGGTGCGTTCGGAAACCGCGGCAGACCTGCACCGTTGTCGAGAGGTGGCGGGAACACTGGTAGAAATCCACCAAACAAAAATAAGAAGTAATGTATAGATAAATTGTATTTAATATATTAAGATCTTTTTTTATTCTTTTCTTTTATTTATTCCTTGATTATTAAATTTTTAGGTTATGTTAATCTTAAAGTGACATACTTCGTGAAAGATACATTATTTTTCTATTGAAAGGTCTGTGGTCTCTGCTTACTGGGATCAAAGTATAAGTTGCTACTTGATGGTATATCACATTAAAAAAATTACTGACTTTATATAAGTAACAAAAATCATTACCAGCTGACTACATCTCCACTGAAGGTCTTGGAGCCTAATCTAAGTTATTAACTAGGCCATAATCAACCAACCCGCACTTGGCCAGCGTGGTTGACTATGGCCTAATCACCCCTAACTTAGGGTAGGCTCCGAGCGCCTCGGTGGGGACGTATAGTGAGCTGATGATGATGAATCAACCATGCTGGCCCATTGCAGGATAACTTCACACATAACTGACTTTCACAGATATGTGCAGCATCACAATGTTTTCCTTTACCATAAGAATGTCAGATAAATGTACATATGTTAATGTAAAACACAATTGTATAGCAGGATTTGAATACAGTATCTTCAGACAAGTCAAGTGTTTAACCCCTAAGCCACTGACACACAAACTCAATGTGATAAAAATGAGGGTAGAAAATAAAAAAAAAAGTCTTGTAATTTCTTACTATACCAAAATCTTTTCTTAGACAATATTTTGTACAATATGTAAAGGTGTGGGTTGTACCATATTCTGTATATTATTTACTAAATTCTGCTGAAAATAATCCATTCTATTTGACAACTCTACTTCCGGGTAAAGATCTTGCTTCTTAACAGTTGCTATTCTGGTTTGCTGTGAAATTTAAATATCTTATTAATATGTTGGTACCACAATCTTTCTAGAATTGGATGGCAACATCATTAATAAAAAAATTCTATACAATATGTTGGTGGGTTTAAATCAAACTAAATTACTAGGTACCATACCTTACTAGCTGTCAATCTCAAAATGTCGCTAGATACTTGCCATAATATAACTGTCTTATGATGTCTTTGTCATTTTATATCTGTATGTTGCATATATTTTGTGATTCAACTAACCAGCACTGCCTCTCAGAAAATTCACACATAAGACAGGCGTCAAGTGGAAGCAATTCCGCGTTTCCTCTGATGAGTGTGCATCCCGGAGACCTAATTTAGTCTTCTTTCCCTCCCCACCCTTTTCTTCATAAGGAATGGATGGGAAGTGGAAGTGGACTTTCCGGATGAGAGGATGCATGGAAAGGGAAATAATTTTCTTTCTGTGCATCCTCTCCCCCGTTGATTAAAGGTAGGCAATGCATATGCAATTGCGTATGTCTATGGGCAACGGTCACTTTGCTATTTCAGCGATTTCAGGTGACTCGCTCGTTTGCCACCTTATGATATAAAAAAAGGATCCTATGACATTGAGATGGGATTACTGAGATATATTTAGTGTGTTTATGCCCTCGGGGCATTGTGTGTATGTTTTTAAAGAATGTTACACATATCACCTTATTCCTCTTACTGGAGTCATGCATCATCTTCATATGTTTATATATAGATGTCTGCCAGGTGAATGTTGCTGGACATAATTTACATTTGAATGTCTTTGTTGATGAACGATTTGTATGCATTGCCCATACGTGACCTTTTAGACGTTTTACGGACTGGAAAAAATTATTTTATTTTATATTAGCTGTCGCCTGCGATTCCGGTTTAATTTGAAGTCTATGTGTTCTTCCAGACTATGATAGATTGACAAATTTCAGCGAGATTCATACAGCCGTTCCGGAGATAACTTCTAACATACATACATCTTCGCATTTATAATACAGTGCAACCTCAATATAACGTACCTCGATATAACGACTTCCTCGATTTAACAAATTTTTCGTAATCCCCTTGAATTGTCCATAAGAGTCAATATAAAATATACCTCTACATTGCGAACATTTCTTGCGAACAACCTCTTTATAACGAATTTTCAACCATCGAGAAAAAGTATAAATACCTCTATTTAACGAATTTTGTCAACCCAAAACCTCTATATAAAGTTGCAGTGTCACTAATGTATGACTTTTAATCTCATAATATGTGATTCATGTTGCGACATGTTTCGACACGCTTTTGTTTGTAAATCAATCTTCGACACGCTTTTGTTCGTAAATCAATCATTGTTGTTTGATGGAAAGTAATGTTAACACTTATTCTCGTCACAATTGTCAAAGATTTAAGTTAAAATGGCTCAGAAACCTACAAAAAAATTTTGTTACTTGCCTAATTGTTTTTAAATAGAAAACACATACAGTAATTTGATAAAAAAGACTTATCATTTATTAGTAGAAGTTGTTCGCTATAACAAGATGCGTACGTAATGTTGAGGTGAATAAAACTATTTTTTTACCTCTTTATAACGAATTTTAGACCATCCTAACCTTAACATAACAAACCTCAGTTTAACGAATTACTCGATATAACGAATATTTACTTGTTTCCCTCCGATTCGTTATATTGAGGTTGCACTGTATTAGTAAGAAGTAAGATACAGTTGTTCAAAAGTAGTTTTTTTTTTAATATTTGTAAAAAACATAAATTACTAGCTGTCTCCCGCGACTCCGTCCGCTCAAAATTAAATAGGAACCTAATTTATTGGCTATGTTCTACACGTAAGTCAAATTTCAGCTAAATCCATGCAGCTGTTCTGGATATATCTTTAAACAAACATCCATCCATATAAACATTCATATTCATAATATTAGTAAGAAGTAAGATATAGGTCAAAAGTAGTTTTTTTTAACTTGTAAAAAAATTTTTTTTTTTAAATTACAAATTAAATTTTAAACTGAAATGCCGGCATCGCATCTGCGATTCCTCTGGTATTGCAGATGTCCATGGTATGCACACCAATGTTCCCGCTGCCAGTTTGCCCCCTTCTCTTATAAAAAAAATCTTAAACTTAAAAAAAACGGCTAAAACACTGACATATGTTTATCCGGTGTCGGCATCGACTAATTTCCAACCTATGAGAGGCCGCGTCCGCGAAATTAGTCCCACTCACCCTGATGAAGGGTCTCCGATGGGCTCAAACTAGTTGGTGCTGCCAACGGACAATACGTGAGTGTTTTAGCCGTTTTTTATATGTGTTTATTATTTCTAGTCTAGTCTATACTATACTGACCTTATAAGATTTCCCACATATTTCACACAAATGTTCAGATTCAGGTTCTTTGTTCTTTTTACCTTCATGTATATTGTTCATATGGGCGACCATTATTTTTGCTGTTTTAAACGCCTACAAATATAATTATTAACTTTTACACACATTAACTTCTGGTAACTAACATAAGGAGGCAAACGAGCGAGCGGTCACCTGAAATCGCTGAAATAGCGAAGTGACCGTTGCCCATAGACATACGCAATTGCATATACGTTGCCTAACTTTAATCGACGGAGGAGAGGATGCACAGAAAGACAATATTTTCCCTTTCCATGCATCCTCTCATCCGGAAACTCCACTTCCACTTCCCATCCTTCCCTTATGAGGAAAGGGTGGGAAGGGAAAGAGGACTAAATTAGGCCTCCGGGACGCACACTCATCAAACTGCACGCGAAATTGCTTCGCACTTTGGTGTGGTCGTAGTATTTCACTGGGCGAGGACAATTCCTGCGAACATGTTAAAGCGAGCTCTACCACTGTACAGTTGTAGAGATTGTTAGTGAGCTGTCATAATTAAATTTGACTTGTGCCCACCGGGATTGACTGTAAACTTACCTTTAAGCAAACACTGCATTGATATTTTATAACTTTGAGATGATCCCAATCAATATGATCCACCATACACCATTTTGACGCGAACTTTTTACCACAATAGTTACACGAGTGGCTAAAACAAAAATCAAACTTGTCTATGGTAGACGCTAGCAATATCTATGTCAAATTATATCAGCCAGAGATACCTTCTAACAAACATACATCCATACATTCGCATTTATAATATACTAGTTGTCACCCGCGACTCCGTCCGTGCCTAATTAAACACAAACTATATTCTTCCAAACTACGTTCTACATCTATGACAAATTTCACCGAGATCCTTCTAACATCTAACCATCCATCCATCCATACATGTTAACATTGCATTTATAATATTAGTAAGGCTAGCTATCGCCAGCGATTCCGCGCGGAATTGAAAAAAAAAACTTAATTTAAAGCCTATGTGTTCTTCCAGACTGTATTCTACAGCTATGTCGAATTTCATCAAGATTCATACAGGTGTTCCGAGGATACCTTCTAACATCCATCCATCCATCTAAACATTCGCATTTATAATATTAGTAAGACTAGCTAACGCCAGCGACTAAGCGCGAAATTGAAAAAAAAACTTACTTTGAAGCAAATTTCATCGAGATCCATACATCAGTTCTGAAGATACCTTCTAAAATACATCCATACATTCGCATTTATAATATTAGTAAGATACTCACATGTACGCGTCTTCAGGGACATGTCGTTTACTTAATCTCATATGATTATTATAGCAATCCCTACTAGAAAACGTCTTCCCACATTCCCGGCATTCGTGCGTCGCACCCGCGTCTCTCTCGCGGTGATTACGCGTGTGCCGCGCGAGGTTACGCTTCCATTGGAACTGTTTGCCGCAGATAGGACACGGGTATGTCTCACCGTTGTGGATAACACTGAAATACATCTGACTCGAAGGACCAAAGATTTTTTGAACTGAATTATTTGATTAAATCAATAATTAGCGGTCATTCGTCTTTATAAAATAAAAAAAACTATCCTATAACATGCCCGTATACATCACCTACCTTCCAGTTAAAGTCCCGTCAAAATCTGTCAACACGTTTCCGAGATTACGCGGAACATACGCAAACTCTAGGACAGACATGCAGACAAAAAAAAATTAGTCTAGTATCGGCTACACAAATATCGTCTATGCGAAATATGATTTTTTTTTACGATATTACATATATTTACGATGATGACGATGAAAAAAACATTTTATAACTTTTGTCTGTCTGTCTGCAAGTTTGCGTATGTTCCGTGTTATCTCGGGAACGTGTTGACAGATTTTGACGGGACTTTGACTGGAAGGTAAGGTTTTTAACAGTGGTAGAGCCCGCTTTAACATCTTCGCACGAATTGTCCCGGCTCGCCCGGTGAAATACCACGACCACACAGAAGACAGGCGTCAAGTGGAAGCAATTCCGCGTTTCGTCTGATGAGTGTGCGTCCCGGATGCCTAATTTGGTCCTCTTTCCCTTCCCACCCTTTTTCTTATAAGGAAAGGATGGGAAGTGGAAGTGGACTTTCCGGATGAGAGGATGCATGGAAAAGAAATATATTTTCTTTCTGTGCATCCTCTCTTCTGTCGATTAAAGGTAGACAACGCATATGCAATTGCGTATGTTTATGGGCAACGGTCACTTCGCTATTTCAGCGATGTCAGGTGGCCGCTCGCTCCTTTGCCACCTTTTGATAAAAAAAAGGTAGCTGATGTACGCAAGAATGTTATAGGTTAGTTTTTTTTCACTTTAAAGTCAATGGATAGTGCTAGAATATAAAAGCATTAATTAATATTTTTACTTACACGTGAGCTCTATAACTTTTTTTAGAATAAAAAACTTTGTCACATCCTTTACACGGCAAATGTACTTTTTCCTCAGGTTGCTTTGGTGTTAGTATTCTAATAAAAAAAACATGCTAACATTTAAAAAAAACAGTGTAATTATAACAAAACTTCCATTAGGGGCCGTCCATAAATTACGTGAGGTGTTTAAGGGGGGGAGGGGGTCGAGTCAAATCTCATCTAATCTTACATTGGAGTGGGGGGGTCTCGGCAAATATCACGCATTTTTTTTTCTGATAAAAACAAAAAAAGCAAAAGCACGAAGCAATTTTTTTCTCTTTTTACAATAATCCAAAACGTTTACGTAAGAAACTCACATTTTGAAAAATCTCACGTGAGATTAGGGGATGGGGGAGGAGGTTGAATAAAATCTCACCACATCTCACCAGGTGGGGAGGAAGGGGCAGAAAATAAAAAAAAAACCTCACGTAATTTATGGAAGCCGACAAAAAAAATAGTTTTTTTTTTAACTTAATTATGTATTTACTCACTTTAAATGATATTTAAGTGTCAATTTGCTGGCAAAGACTTTCCCACAACAATCACACTGAGGACTTTCCTTATGGCACACACCTCTGTGATAACTCAATTTCGATTCTGAACTGTAATTCATTAGTGATAAGGTTAAAAAACTTAGGTTAAGGTTAGGTTGTGAAGTCAACCAACCCGCACTTGGCCAGCGTAGTTGACTGGCCTAATCACCCTTAACTTAGGGTAGGCTCCGAGCCCCTCGGTGGGGACGAATAGTGAGCTGATGATGATGTAGGTTAAAAATTACATGTACTATTATATTAGCTAAAATAACTATACGACATTTAATCCATTCAAAAACATTACAACACTTCACAATTAAAAACACAAAAAAATAGGTAAAAACACAGAAATTTAATTTAGTTCCCTCTAATATGACACTTCTTTTGATCTTCATCTTTGTATTCAAATTTAACCTTATTGTTTTGCTATTTATGTGAGGGAGCTAGATAAAGTTACATAAAAATGTTACTAATCGAAAAGTCAAATATGTTAAAGTTAATCGTTAAAAGTTAAATAAAAATGCGTAATTTTTGCAAACATTTCGAAAAAAATCATATATAGTGCAAGATCGGTATTATATTAAGGGAAAAATAATAAAAAAACTAGTATCTATTACGACGATAATCCGACAGTGTGCCGGTGTATCGCAACACTAGCCTTACTATGTCGACGTTTATGTCCCCTCACTAATCTGACACTTGACTTGTCAACGGAAGCGCGCTATTCGCGCCTTAACTAATAATGTCTAAAACAGTGGTTTCCAAACTTATTTTGTCTACTGTCCACTTTGAGAATAAATATTTTTTTAGCGCCCCCATATTTTCACATATTTAAAAACCACTATAACTTCAAATTAAATTAATTAATTATTGTGTTAACCTATATATGTACATTAACGGAGAATTCTAAAGGAAACTTTTACTATAACCCGCAACTTGAGATCTGCAGCGCTCACAAGGGGGCGTTATCGCAAACTTTGGGAAAGACAGGTCTAAAACATCTAAATTTAAATCTTTTTGGAATATTTATATAATGAACATTTAAATGTCAATTAACGGATTAACGAGTTAAATAACTTTGGAGAATTTCATAAAGCTAAATATTAAAATTTTAAATTTAGTCCACTATCCCTCTTCACCTTTTTTCTTATACGGCAAGGATGGGAAGTGGAAGTGAACTTTCCGGATGAGAGGATGCATGGAAAGGGAAGATATTTTATTTCTGTGCATCCTCTCCTCCGTCGATTAAAGGTAGGTATATGCAATTGCGTATGTCTATGGGCAACGGTCACTTCGCTATTTCAGCGATTACAGGTGGCCGCTCGCTCGTTTGCCACCTTATGATATAAAAAAAATTCTAGAGCTGATAATAATGTAACTTACGAGAAAGTCTTTCCGCAAGTAACACAAGCTGTCCCTGGTGCTCCATGTTCTGTTCTCACATGTTTTAGTATGCAACGTTTTCTTGTCGTGACATCACCGCAGATACGACATTTATACGCTGTCAGATGCAACGAGCGGTGACATGACATATTGTCACGTGTTATGAAGAAAGCTTTACAAACGTCACATTGTACGTCTGCCGCGCTTTTCTGTTGACATTTATTTTGTTATTTAACAAACACAAGCATAAAGTAAATCGAGTGTTAGTACAAAGTTATATATTTAAAAACTAGCTGTAGCCCGCGACTCCGTCCGCGTGGATATATAAAAATCTTAATTAGTGTAGCTCATCCATCCATCCATCCACATCCATATAAACATTCGCATTTATAATATTAGTAAGTTAAAATAAAATCGAAAAAAATGAATAAATAGTATCCTATGTCCGTCTCCTGGCTCTAAGCTACCTCCTCAACAATTTTCAGGCATATCGGTAAAGCCGTTCTTGAGTTATAAATAGTGTAACTAACACGACTTTCTTTTATATATATAGAATAACATTTTTTACTATGTTTGTCTGTCTGTTTGTTCCGGCTAATCACTGGAATGGATGAACCGATTTTGACCTGGACTTATATAGGCAGGTAGATGAGCTTAAGCGAAAGTAACTTAAGCTATGTTTATTTTATAAAAAAAGTAAAGTCCAAGTGCTGTCAAGTACCGTGCAGCTCACAGTATATCACGTGGATGGAGTCGCAGGCACAGCTTATAGACGATAAAAAGGAACCAACAGATGACAGGCGTACACAATATTCACAAGACAAAGTTTAGATTTAAAGATGTAAGATATTTTCATTTGTCGTTGGTTTAAACCAGTGGTTCCCAAACTTATTTTGTCTACTGCCCACTTTGATAATATTTTTTAAGCGCCCCTATATTTTCAGATATTTAAAAACCACTATAACTTCAAATTAAATAAATTAATTATTGTGACCTATATATGTATATTAACGGAGAATTCTAAACGAAACGTTTTACTATAACCTGCAACTTGAGACATGCAGCGCCCACAAGGGGGCGTTATCGCACACTTTGGGAAAGACTGGTTTAAAGGGTATTCACTTGACTAATTCGCCCTGGATTTTAACGAAATGTACCAATATATTTTTCGATTTACATATGTACAGTCAAGAAAAACAGCGGTGTTCCAACTTAGCTTAAGTCGCTCAAACGTTTTGTACAATAATCAAAAGGATGCAATTATTAAATGTGTGCGAAAAAAGGTCCGTGGTACGCGGCTAATTGCTTTTTATTATTACCTTGGTTAATTTTAAGAAAATACAGAATTTATCTCTTTGCAAAAAAAAGGCAATTTTTCTGTATTTGTAACACCGCAAATTTCCACGACTGTACATCCGATATTTTTAAATTGAAGGAAAACATCGTGATACTTTCTGTACATCCTTCCACTGTCATGATTAAAAGGTAGGCAACGCATCTGCAATTGAGTTTCGCTATTTCGGCGAATTTAAATATAAAATTAAAACTCACCAGAACATGTTTCCCATTTAAATGATAATTCATAAGTTTCTCCGTATTAAAACTTGTTAAACAATCATCGCATTTATATTTGAGTGCTACAAATTCATCTCTTGCCACATCTTTAGCTCGGACTTGCCACATTTCTTCTTCACTCATCGTATAAAGTTCTACAAAATCTTCTGGTAAATTCTTTAATTTTCTAGAACGTTTCACTGTTTCATCTAATTTATTATCAATCTGAAAGGAAACAGTTGATTTTTAACAAAAAAAAAAACGGAAAACTTGTCTATGGCCAATGGAAGGCGCCTTGCTTGGTCGAATTGTTAAAATACCAGCAAAATATAACATACTTTTATCTTGAAATCTGTAAATTTAACTCAATAAAAAACATTTTTTTTATAGTCTGAAAACCATTGGATGGATGGATGTTTGTTAGAATGTATCTCCAGAACGGCTGCAAGATCTTGATGAAATTTGTCATAGATGTAGAACATAGTCTGGAAGAACATATATTTATTACACAATTTGACATTAAAAAAAAATTATGGTCTGAAAACCATTTGATCTTTGTCAAAAAAATTACTAAAATCAAGTTAACGTCTGTATTTGTTTACTTAGTAATAAATGTGAATGTTTACATGGATGGATGTTTGTTAGAAGGTATCTCCAGAACGGCTGCAACATCTTGATGAAATTTTTCATACATATAGAACATAGTCTGGAAGAACACATAGACTACTTATTAAGGTTTTTAGTCCCGCGCAGACGGAGTCGAGGGCGACAGCTAGTTTTGTAATAAAAAAATAACTAACCTCAGATACAAAAGTAACTGGTAATTTATCATCTTTCCTTTTACTTTTATCCCCTTTGTTCTTTCTTTTTTTCTTTTTAGTTTTTAACTTAGACAATTGAATATCATCATCGGAGGATTGATTTTGTGATTCTTCTAGGAAATTATCAAAATAACTGTCTGTTATTTCTTCTATTTTTGGACTTTCTATTTGTTTCAATTGTGAATCTGAAAAGATAACATATTTGAGACTATAGCTCAGTGGTTAATTACTTCACAGGTCCACGTTCAATTAGAAACTGTTTAAAGATATCTCCGAAACTGCTGAACAGATCTCGATTAAATTTAGCATACATATAGAACATAGCCTGGAAGAACTACTAGTATTATATAAAACCTACTTAAACATAGAAAATTACATAAAAGAAATAACACGAAAGCTACAGTACAAGGACAACTTTTTTTTTATATTATAAGATGGCGAACGAGCGAGCGGCCATCTGAAATAGCAAGGAGAGGATGCACAGAAAGAAAATGTTTTCCCTTTCCATGCAACCCCTCATCTGGAAAATCCACTTCCATTTCCCATCCTTTACTTATAAGAAAAAGAGTGGGAAGGCACAGAGGACTAAATTAGGCCTCCAGGAAGCACACTCATCAGACTGTAGTTGGAATTGCTTCCACTTTAAGCCTGTCTTCTGTGTGGTCGTGGTTTTTCACTGAGCGAGGACAATTCGTGCGAACATGTTAAAGCGAAATCTTCCACTGTTAAACATTGTGTTATGACTTTGACAGAAGGCGTTAGTAAGCTGTCATAATTTAATTTGACTTATACCTTGATGTCTTAAAAAGATTACTCACCCAAATTCTCTTCATATTTATCTGTATCTTCTTCTTTAATAATATCTATATTAATGCTATCTTCTTCTTTTATCTGATGTAATATAACTGTGTTATACATCAAGTTTGATGAAGTAAGTCGACTCATAGCATGATTTTTAAAATCATTCGGAGAATTTAAAAATATTTGCTGTGAAATAAAGATGTTACTTTTGTATTATAAATGCGAATGTTTAGATGTTTATTAGCAGGTATATGTGGAACTTCTATTGAATTATGGTACTGATGTAGAACATTGTTAGGCAGAGTTGTAGGCAATAGCTAATAGATAACTATAGAAACAAGAAACCTAATAACCAATAGTCAATATCCAGTGCTGACAGTCAACCTCCATAAGTAGAGAGAAACCTCTATAAATGAGAAAAATATTGCAGTCCCTTGCTAATCCAGAGTAGACTTAATAACATACTAGTTGTCGCCTGCGATTCCATGTGTGGGGAATTAAAAAAAACATGATTAGTAGTCTGTGTGTTCTTCCAGACTATGTTCTATATGTGTTTCAAATTTCATTAAGATCCATTAAGCCATTCTAGAGATACCTTCCAACATATGGATGTTTGTTTGAAGGTATCTTCAAATTTAAAAAAAAGAAAGATTAGTAAAATTGTTGTCCTTGTTTAACCAAAGGGAATGAAAGGGATGATAATATGTATTAATTCAAGTGTCATATGCAGTTCTGTGCTTGATATTACCTTATTTGAATACTCCATAAGCACATTATATGCTTTCAGAATTTGTTTTCGGAATCGAACTGCTGATGTGACTGATGCAAGACATTCCCAACACACTTGGATTGTTAAGCCATCTGGAACCTGGAAAACAATAAATGTTTATGTAATTACAAGGTAGTTAAATATATATCTAGAATAATACATGTTACTAATATTATAAATGCAAAAGTTTGGATGGGTGGAAGGATTAATGTTTTTTAGAGAAATATCCGGAATGGGTTAATGGATCTTGATGAAATTTGGCACAGATGTAGAACATAAATCAATGAGAAATACCAAAGCCTGGTGCGACCCCACGTAGTATAGGATAACGACAAAGAGATGGAAATTATAACTTATTTCAAGCAAAATTTAAAGAAATTCTTTTAACTTTTACTAATTAGGTAAAGTAAAGTTTACTTATATTTCTCTTGTAATAACATTTCTAATTCCATTGCTAACGAAATTAAAATTAAAAATAACGTAATAATGACGCATCTAAGGTTTTTTTGTTCTGATATTAATGTTTCAATTGAACGTAGTTTATGACTTGAATATGTCACTTAAAGATTAAATGTAAGTATTTAATGTTATTACTTATTTAATTGTAATTAATTTAATAAAGTTACAAACACTTACATCTATTTTGGCCCATATTTTATAAAATTCTTTAACTTCGTCGCGGTAAAACATTTTGCGATTGTAGTTGAGGCATCCGACACAAATGCCGTTTACATTATATCCTTCGATGTTTATATTTATTTCCTTCATGATTTTGGCACAATACTACTGAGTTTGTTAATAAAAATATTTTACAAGCAATGGAAACTTTATTCCTTTCCTTCTGCCATTTTGTTATTGTCGTTTTGACTTATGTTGACAGATTTTAGCGTTGGTACGTCTTGTATTTTTAAACTGCGGTAAGCTAAAATTTTTCAACATTACGAAGATTTTTGATTTCATGTAAATAATTAGCTTTTTTCTTATCATTTCTGCTATAAGTTTAAATCAAATCTCAAAAGCGCAAAAAACTTTTTTTTGTAGTATTATAAATTTTAGTAATAGCAACACTCAAGTACTACTCGTATCCAATAACGAAAGGCCTGCGTTTGGCGGCATAATCCATGAACAGTACACCAAAATGATTGCAAAATGCAAAATTATTTCGAAACATATTTGATCGGCATTTTTAAAATCCCCTCTATTTTTTTTTCTATATTGTATTTTTTATGTAAAGCTTAACTCGACAGTATATGACAAATTAGCAATCATGCAGTTAGGTAAAAATGTAATACAAGTAAATTAGTAGCTTATGTGTCCTTCCAGACTCTTCTACAAATTTTAGCAAGACCTTTCCAGCCGCTTCAGAGATACCTTGTAACAAACATCCAAACATTCGCATTAATATTATTAGTAAGAAGTAAATTAAGTGAAGACGTTGAACGCACGAAGCAAGTACAAACTTTTGTTACTCATTGTACCAATGTCAACGCTAGCGGGTTGGCGGGAAGGGTGTGGGCGGGGGTCGCATTTCATTTCGAGTGTCATGTTATAACTCACGGGTAGCCATTTTGTTTTGTCGTGGAATTAAATCTTATTAATAAAACAAAGTCTAATTTAAATACTTTAAATGATTTACAAAGTGAATGTTTAATTCGAAAATGAACGTGGATACATTGAAACGTAAAATATGCAATACATGTCTTAGTTTAGATCGCGAAATAATAATATTAAATGAACAATCAGATTTATATCAAGTTTATCGACTATTAATATCAGAATTCGCTGGTGATGTAAGTATTGTAAATATATTCAAACTAATTAAAACTGCCATGCTTGTTAAAATAAATTACGCTCGACTCGATTGTCAACATGAATAAAAACTATGAAAAGACAGTTGTTTTCTTAATCAAAGGTCAATAGTTAAAGGTACTTTAGTCACAAAAAAAAACGTTTTACAGCCAATCTTAATTTTTTTTTATTAGACTTTTTAATAATAACTGACTCACATATATCCAAATTGTTAATATAATAAATATTTACTTCCAGCTGGATCCATTATCTGAAAAGGGTTTAAAGGCGTGTTGGGAATGTATTGCTATGATGAAAAGATTCAATAAATTCAAAAGGCAAGTCAGCAGCGCTCAACAGCATCTTCAAAGATTTGGTGAATCTAAGGTACAAACAAGAATCATCTTAAAATTTTTGTTTAACATGTTAAATGTTTAAAGAATATTTTCTTTGTCTGTGAAGAAATAAAAACAAAAGTTGCCAGTTATAATTTCAATTAAAAACTTTTTTTCAGGACCCAAATCTTTTATCATTTTCTCCGCCTCTATCATCACTGCAGATATTAATTAAGCCCGGATTTGATAAGATTTATATTGAACAATCTACAATGCAAATAAATTCACAAAGGAATAACACATTAGAGAAAATAAAGCATGAACCAGAAGATATTGAGAAAGATAAAGAGAAATTAGAAGGTAAGATTAAAAAAAAAATAATAAAAAAATATACATAGTGACAACCTCTTCCTTTTTTACGTCGGTAAAAATAGGCTGACAACTGACATTAAGGAAGAATAAAAACCAAATAATACCACAATAGTTTCATGATCAACCTGCTCTTATCCCTAATGAGGGTCGGCACATGTACTCCTCCATACATCTCTATCAGACGTCATCTCTGAATCTATCACTTACACATATCCTCTTTCACACAATACATACTTACTTTTTGTAGCTATCAACATTCATTCTCATTATTTTTTTGCTTATATCATCACTCTGCATAACATGTCCAAATCACAGATTTCCGTTGATGGTTACATATACAAAAAATCACTGATGTAAATTATTTCCTCGTTCCAGATTTAATGGACAATGGAACAGTATCACATATAGAGGTTAAAATAGAACCTTTAGCGATGGATATAGGACAAAAAGATCCAAATGAACTTGTCCAACCAGATACACTTATATTTGGGTATGAATACATTTATTAATAACTAGATGTTGTAAAATAAGAAAAATCTCAGTTAGTCTATGTGTTCTTCCAGACTATGTTCTATATCTATATCAAATTTCAGCGAGATCCAGGTAGTTCTGTAGACATTTTCTATCAAACATCCATCCAAACATTCGCATTTATAATATTAGTAAGATTTTTGAAGCAGCATTGAAGTCATGAGTTTGATTCTTACTATACGACAATTGTTGTATAGTGAATATCCTTACACGAGATTCGACCCTATATTCGAATGGTTATGAGAAATATTACAAACTAGTGGTTGCCTGCGACTCCGTCCGTACATAATTAGAAAAAAAAATAGCTTATATGTTCTTCCAGATGTTTATCAAATACATCTATGCAGCAGTCCAAACATTCGCATTTATAATATTACAAATGTCAATTACAGAACATCTAAACAACTAAATCAGACTAATTTACTGCAAAATGCATTACTAATTGAACCTAAACAAATAACTCTTGTAAAAGAGCAGAGAAAAAAGAAACGCGTTAAAAATAAATCGGATCTTAGAAGTGGATATATAACTGAATATATGAATGAAAATGACATGCTAGCTTTTAGGTAAGATAGCTGGCTTGCGACTCCGTCCGTCATCATCATCATCAGCTCACTATACCGTCCCCACCGAGGGGCTCGGAGCCTACCCTAAGTTAAGGGTGATTAGGCCATAGTCAACCACGCTGGCCAAGTGCGGGACTCAGTCCATGCGGACAAAAAAACTTAATAAGTAGCCTATATGTTCTACCAGATTATGTTATATGTATGCCAAATTATAGCGAGATCCATGCACCCTTAGATGATACCTTCAAACAAACAAACATCCATACATCTAAACATCGCATTTTTGACATTGACATTACTAGGCAATTATTGTCATCAAATGACACTTTTTGCCATATAGTGTCTTGGTGTCCTGTCCTACTTAGATGACACTTCTTGCTATTACATTTATTGTATTTAAAAGTTGATATAACGTATATTTGCTAAGCTCTATATTTACACAATAAATCTTCATCAAATAAAATATTCATATGACATGATAAAAACACAGTATGTTTATTAATTTATGAATTATATTCAGGGAAGAAGCGAAGAAGAAAATTTACTACACTGAAGCTGCACACAAGTGTGAAAATTGTATCCTTGGCTTCTACACTAAACAGCATTTAGAGGAACACTATGAATTCGCACATAAAACTGTGAGTCACTTAAAGATGACATTAATTGCTAAAATTTGTTCTATCATTCATTTAGTAGTCATTTTAAAAGTAAATTATACATACATACACATTTGTTGAACTTTCAGTCGTTCAAAATTATATAACTTGGCAAACTATAATTTAGAAATTAAAGGAATTGTCATTTGTCACTTGAAGACTGCAACGCTAGACAAACTTTGTCATTTAATAATTATAATATGTAACTCTCGAAGTCAGTTTAACATGCAGTGCCACTACTTGCGCTACATGTAGGGCCACTACTTGCGAGCATGTAGGGCCCCTACTTGCGCTACACGTAGGGCCACTGCTTGCGCTACATGTAGGGCCACTACTTGCGAGCATGTAGGGCCCCTACTTGCGCTACACGTAGGGCCACTGCTTGCGCTACATGTAGGGCCACTACTTGCGCTACATGTAGGGCCACTACTTGCAGTACATGTAGGGCCACTACTTGCAGTACATGTAGGGCCACTACTTGCGCTATATGCAGGGCCACTAGATGTGGCACGTGTGCCTGTGACGTGACAGTAGTTGCGTAACTTAGCACAGCTGAGATAGTTCCCCCGTCGCGTCGCGCAGAGGGAGGGCACCGCGCCGTGCAAGGTGTGCTACTCGTACGTGGAGGAGGGGCGCGTGTCGCAGCACATGCAGGGCCACTACGTGCGGCACGTGTGCCGGCTCTGCGGGCA